CGGGTCAGAGAGCGGCCGCCACGCCCCTCGGCCCCGCTCCCCGGCAGACGCTCCGGCCCTTTCGGGCGGCGCCGTAGCCTCAGCCCGCTCCGGATTAAACCGTCCTGCCTCCGGACGGGCCATGATGGCCAGTTGCAGTACTGGCCGTTCTCTGCCTCAGATCTTTATAACTGGAAAAATAATAACCCCTCCTTTTCAGCAGACCCCGTGAGACTGACTGATCTATTAGAATCGGTTCTCACTGCCCAACAGCTTTTTGCAAGTCCTCCTAACTTCGGAGGAGAGACAGCGGGTCCTTGAAGCCCGGAAAATTTGTTCCTGGGGCAAATGGACAACCTACGCAGCTTCCAAATGAAATTGATGCTGCCCAGACTGGGACTTCACCACTGAGGCAGGTAGGACCCATCTAATGTCTTTAATGCCAGTTGCTTGTAGCGAGTCTCCGAAAGACGGATAAGCAATCTATAAATTTGGCCCAGGTAAGACAGATAGTTCAGAAGGCAGAGGAATCGCCAGCCGCATTTTTTGAAAGACTTAAGGAAGCTTACAGAATGTATAACCCATATGACAGGGGTATACACTACCAGATGTATTGAGGGAGACAGAACGCATTTTTTTATGAAAAGAGAAGCTCAGACAGAGAGAGAAAAGATGTAAACAGAATGTCAGAGACAGGAAATGAGAGAGACAGGATAGAGAGGGACGAGAAGCGTAATAGAGAGATGACTAAACTATTGGCCACAGTAGTTGCAGAGCAGAGACAGGATAGGCAGAGAGAGGGACGAAGAGGGCCTCGCCTGGAAAGGAACCAGTGTGCATACTGCAAGGAAAGAGGACACTGGGCAAGAGAATGTCCCAAGAAACAAAGAAGGACATTCCAAAGGCCCAAACCCCGCTCTCAGACCTCCGACCTGCTGAGCCTCGAAGATTAGGGAGGTCAGGGCCAGGAGCCCCCCCCTGAGCCCCGGATAACTATACCAGTAGGGGGGCGCCCGGTCACCTTCCTGGTAGACACGGGGGCTCAACACTCTGTTCTAAATCGGCCACCCGGCCCCCTGAGCCGCCGCACTGCCTGGGTACAAGGAGCTACCGGTGGGAAGCAATATCGATGGACCACGGACCGCCAGCTCCACCTAGCGACCGGTAAGGTGATGCACTCCTTTTACATGTTCCTGACTGCCCATACCCCTCCTGGGTCGAGACCTCCTAACGAAGTTAAAGGCTCAAGTACATTTCGAGAAAGCCAACATAAGAGTCACGGGGCCAGAGGGGGCCCCACTCACGGTACTGACTATAGCCTTAGAAGAGGAATATAGAATACATGAGCCCAAGGATGACTCTTTTAAGGTCGAGGACCGCTGGTTGACTGACTTTCCCCAGTCCTGGGCAGAGACTGGAGGAATGGGACTAGCCCTCCAGCAGGCTCCCATCATAGTCCATTTAAAGGCATCTGCTCTCCCGGCCTCAATTAAACAATATCCCATGTCCCGGGAGGCCCGCGATGGAATCAAACCTCACATTAAGAGGCTACTGGAGCAGGGCATTCTAACCCCCTGCCGGTCCCCCTGGAACACTCCCTTGTTGCCAGTCAAGAAGCCCGGAACCAATGACTATAGGCCGGTCCAGGACCTCCGGGAAGTCAATAAGCGGGTTGAGGACATACACCCCACGGTCCCCAATCCCTATAACCTCCTGAGTGGACTGCCACCTGACTATATTTGGTACTCAGTCCTGGATTTAAAGGATGCCTTCTTCTGCTTGCGGTTGCACAAAGACAGTCAGCCGCTGTTTGCCTTTGAATGGCAGGATGCAGACCTGGGAATCTCGGGACAACTTACATGGACTAGGTTGCCCCAAGGGTTCAAAAATAGCCCCACCCTCTTTGATGAGGCCTTACATCAGGACTTGGCCGGATTTAGAGTCCACCACCCTGAGGTCCTCCTCTTACAATATGTGGATGACATCCTGATAGCCACCAAAACAGAGGAAGAATGCCTGAGGGGGACAGAAGCTCTCTTAAAGACTTTAGGAGACTTGGGGTATAGGGCCTCTGCCAAAAAGGCCCAAATCTGTCGGACCCAGGTCACCTACCTGGGGTACAAAATCCAGGATGGAAAACGTTGGCTAACAGAAGCCCGCAAACAGGCCATACTCGACATCCCTCCTCCCAAGACCCCCCCGAAAATTGCGGGAATTCTTGGGAACAGCAGGTTTCTGTAGACTGTGGATCCCCGGGTTTGCGGAAATGGCAGCACCCCTGTACCCCCTCACCAAGACGGGGGCTACCTTTGACTGGGGGGGAGAGCCAGGAACAAGCCTTCATGAACATCAAGAAGGCTCTGCTCTGCTCCCCAGCCCTGGGGTTACCGGATCTGACTAAACCCTTTGACTTATTCGTGGCTGAGCAAGAGGGTTATGCGAAGGGGGTCCTAACTCAAAAACTTGGGCCCTGGAGACGACCGGTTGCCTACCTATCTAAGAGATTAGACCCCGTAGCGTCAGGATGGCCCCCATGTCTCCGCATGATCGCCGCCACCACAGTTCTCATAAAAGACTCTCACAAATTGACTTTGGGGCAGCCTTTGACTATCTATGCCCCCCATGCTATGGAGGCGGTCATCAGACAGCCACCGGGCCGCTGGCTCACCAATGCCAGGATGACTCATTACCAGACTCTGTTGCTGGACAAGGATAGAATTCACTTCGGGGCTCCGGTGACTCTGAACCCCGCCTCGCTACTTCCCCTCCCCGGGGAAGCAGAGACTCATGACTGCTTACAGATCCTGGCTGAGGTCCATGGGACGAGAGCTGACCTCACGGATCAACCCCTTCCCAACCCTGACCTTGTCTGGTTCACGGACGGAAGCAGCTTTGTACATCAAGGGGAGCGGAAAGCCGGTGCTGCAGTGACAACTGAGTCAGAAACAATTTGGGCTGAGGCCCTGCCGCCAGGAACATCGGCTCAACGAGCAGAACTGATTGCCTTGACACAGGCCCTGAGACTGGCAGAAGGTAAGAAACTCACTGTCTACACAGACAGCCGCTATGCTTTTGCCACCGCTCACATCCATGGTGAAATTTATAGGCGAAGGGGGCTATTGACCTCAGAGGGCAGAGACATTAAAACAAAAAGGAAATCCTGGCCCTCTTAGAGGCTCTGCACCTCCCAACCGCCCTCAGTATCATACATTGCCCAGGGCATCAGAAAGGCGACAGCCCCGTTGCCCGGGGAAACCGGAGGGCCGACCTGGCCGCCCGGGAGGCTGCCTTGACCTTGGAAAGCAACAGTCACCTCCTCCAGGCGGCTGTAGTCCCTGCAACTAATGAGGCTTCCGAGAAGACCTCCCCGTCATGGGACTATGAAATAAAAGACATCAAAGCCATGAAAAGACTGGGGGCGACCCGAGTACATGATGGTCTCTGGACCTATCAAGGAAAGACTGTCCTTCCCCGCCTAATGACTAGATATCTGGTTAACAGCCTACACAAACTCACTCATTTGAGCTCCAGGAAAATGAGAGAACTATTAGCCCGGGAAGAAAATACTCGCTACCTGTTGGGAATAGAAGAAATACTAAAACAAGTGACTGAGCAATGTGATGCCTGCGCCCGCGTCAATATGACCAGGCTAAAGCTACCCATGGGGACTCGAGCTCGTGGGCACCGGCCTGGGGTGCATTGGGAAATAGATTTCACAGAAATCAAACCAGGAAAATATGGATACAAGTACCTCCTGGTTTTTGTTGACACCTTCTCGGGATGGACTGAAGCCTACCCCACCAAGCACGAGACGGCGAAGGTGGTCACCAAGAAACTTCTTGAAGAAATCTTCCCCTGTTACGGAATGCCACAGGTATTGGGGACAGACAACGGGCCTGCCTTTGTTTCTCAGGTAAGTCAGTCTGTGGCCACCTTGTTGGGGATTGATTGGAAATTACATTGTGCTTATCGACCCCAAAGCTCAGGACAGGTAGAACAAATAAATAGAACCATTAAGGAGACTATAACTAAATTATCGCTGGCAGCTGGCACTAAAGACTGGGTCCTCTTGCTCCCCCTTGCTCTCTATCGTGCCCGGAATACACCGGGCCCCCATGGCCTCACCCCTTTTGAAATTCTGTATGGAACCACCGTTCCCTTTGTTCAGTTCTTTGACCAAGATATTTCTGACTATGCCAATTCCTCCTCTCTTCAAGCTCACCTGCAGGCACTCCAGCTGGTTCAGCAGGAAGTCTGGAAGCCTCTGGCCCAAGCCTACCGAGACCAGAGGAAACACCCTATCGTCCCTCACTCCTACAACGTGGGAGACAGCGTTTGGGTCCGGCGCCACCAGGCTAAGAACCTTGAACCCCGCTGGAAGGGACCATACACAGTCCTGTTGACCACCCCTACTGCTCTCAAGGTGGACGGGATTGCTGCTTGGATACACGCCTCGCATGTAAAAGCTGCCTTCCCTGGGGATCCGGACTCAGGATGGAAAGCTCAACGCACTCAAAATCCTTTAAAAATAAAACTTACCCGCTCCCCTCCCTCCTGCTAATAGCCCTCCTCATAAAATCAGACACTGGTGTGGCCTCCAGTCCCCATACCGTTTATAAATTAACCTGGGAGGTTCTCTCCCAGATGGGGGAGGTCATTTATGCTGTCACGGAACCACATGCACTTGGGACATGGTGGCCTACTCTACGGCCTGAATTTTGTGATTTAGTAGCAGGGTTGAACACTTGGGACATTCCCCATTGCCACCCAAAGGCATGCATCAGTGGTTCCCACCTTTACAGACGTCGACGTACATTCATATTCGTGGACCCCAGAGAAACCACCCCCGGGTGTGTTAGTCGCAGAGCCAGAGAGCAGCTAAATTCACTGGACTTCTATGTCTGCCCCCGAGATGGACGTACCTGGCAACAGGCCCGGAAATGTGGGGGATATAATTCCTTTTTCTGTGCAGCTTGGGGGTGCGAGACTACAGGGGACGCATATTGGAGGCCATCCTCATCCTGGGATAAAATACAAGTACGCAGAGGCTGGGACAAAGGACAATCTGGAATGATAGGTAGGCCTCTTGCCATTTCCTTCACTGCGCAGGGAAAGCAAGCCCCGGACTGGCAGACTGGGTATACTTGGGGTTTGCATTGGTATCTGTACGGACCAGACAAGGGAGTAATCTTTACAATCAGATGTAAGGTGGCTCCTGTCAATCCACAGGCCATAGGCCCTAATCAGGTCCTTGCTGATCAAAAGCAGCCTAGCTTACTCATGCCCAAGGCTGATACCAGGCCTCATGACCCTGCCTAAAACCACAGCCGCTCCTGCGCCTACAGAAAGCACTCCCAAACCCCCTCCTCGGGCTCCCCCTTGAAGGCACGGGAGATAGAATATTAGCCCTAATCAAAGGGACATATGCCACTCTGAATTTAACTCGCCCAGATAAGACTAAGGAATGCTGGCTTTGTCTGACTCCGCAACCTCCCTATTATGAAGGCTTAGCGGTTATGGGCGAATATACAAATCAGGCCACAGCCGAGGCTCTTTGTGGGACAGCTACGCAACATAAATTGACCATCTCAGAAGTATCTGGAAAGGGGCTATGTATAGGTAACGTCCCCACCACGCATCAAGGACTATGCAATGCCACTGAGCCTTTGCCCCAAAGTGGCCACTACTTGATAGCCCCCAATGGGACATATTGGGCATGCAACACTGGATTAACCCCTTGTGTCTCCACCACGGTATTAAATGCCACCATTGACTATTGTGTTCTGATAGAATTATGGCCTAAGGTAATTTACCACCCCTCTGACTATGACATGATAAGTACTGGCCGCATTAAGAGGGAACCTATCTCCATCACTACTGCCATCCTACTAGGAGGACTAACCATGGGAGGCATAGCAGCAGGAATAGGAACCGGTACTGCCGCACTGCAGGAAACTAAACAGTTCCAACTCCTACAACAAGTAATGCGTGCAGATATTCGGTCTTTAGAGGAGTCTGTCGCTGCCCTGGAGAAGTCTCTGTCCTCCCTGGCAGAAGTAGCCCTCCAAAACAGAAGGGGACTAGACCTCTTATTTTTACAGCAAGGGGGAATTTGTGCGGCCCTTAAAGAAGAATGCTGCTTTTACGCAGACCATACCGGAGTGGTAAGAGATAACCTGGCTAAAATAAAAGAAAGACGCCAAAAGTACCACCAATTAATTGAGTCCCAACAGGGATGGTTTCAGAATTGGTATAACAGGTCCCCTTGGTATTCGACTCTCATATCCACTATTATGGGACCCCTGATCATTATATTTCTGATTCTGATGATTGGGCCATGCATCTTAAACAGATTGATCCAGTTCATAAAGGAAAGGTTATCAATTGTACAATCACTGGTTTTGACTCAACAATACCAGCAGCTAAAGCAAAGGGATTTCGAGATGGCAGAAACCTCTGAATGAAAGATTTCATTCAGTTACAAGAGCAATGGGGGAATGAAAGACCCCGGCCCAGCACAGGTGGCTGAGGCCTATGGAAAATTCCTTTCCCCCACAGATCAGCCGAATAGTCATTTTTTCGATCAGAAGGAAGCTCAGCTCAAGGTCTTTACAGCTGCATAGTCACTACTATCTCTGTCCAGATAGGGGCCCAGGTGTCTATGGTCTGCACAGCCAGCCCAGAAGGATTGGGCAGGAACCTTTGTTCTTCAGATAGGGCCAAGGCCGAGAATTGGTTCTGAGAGAAACCTTAATTGCCTCTCTGTCCAGATGAGAGAAACCTTAATTGCCTCTCTGTCCAGATGAGAGAAACCTCGTTCTGAGCCCCCGCCTCATTTAAATCACCCAATCAGGGTCCTGTAACTAGGCTTCTCGCTTCTGTACTGCGCTTTTTGCTATAAAAGAACCCCTGAGTCCCCAGCTCGGGGCTCTCAGTTCCCGAGACTGAGACGCCCCGGGTACCCGTGTATTATCAATAAAGCCTCTTGCTGTTTGCATCCAAGCTCGTGGCCTCGGTGTTCCTTGGGTTCGGGTCTCCCTCCCGTGAAAGTCCCCCGCCTGGGGTCTTTCACCAGGGTGTTGCTATGTTCTGCATGTCACTGTTGTGCACTGTCCGTAAAGCACACCCAGAGCCGTAAAGCACAGCCCCACCAGCTAACTTCTGATTGGTTCCTTGCCACGAGGAGGGCATCTGACCTTAGTGACCAGGACAGGAGAGGGCATCTGACCTTAGTGACCAGGACAGGAGCAGGAAGGCCATGCAAACACATGTTAGCCTGAAAAGGCTGCTAAAATGGGGGGACTGGTCACTATAGAGTCAAAAGTGCCCTATCGAATCCCATGTGAAGTACACACAGGCTTTCTCTGCAGAGCTATGTTTTTGGCTTTTCTTCCTTTCTATTCTAGGGACCTTATCAGAAATGGACAGAAGGAAAATAAAGCCACACCTGCCAAATGAAAACTCTGTCAGGGAGAACTGAGAAGAGCCACTGTCAACCAAGCACATCAAGGCCACCGTTTTCAATCTAATGTTACTGGCAATAACCTCTCAACATTATCCATGGTTGGTAACTAAGAAAAGACCCCCAGACTTGATTTTCCTTTTGGCAGACAGACATGCACATAATTCTTAAAATGTTGGTTGTTGCTAAAGCCCTAAAGTAGAAGTGTTTTCACCTTTCAAGTCATTTTTTTTAGCCTCAGCGGTGTTAAGTACCAGCCTCTTCTCTTCCAGGTTCTCATAAAGATGGGTCCCCTTCATCTTGACTCAAAGTCAGAGAGTTCAAAACTGTCCTTAGAAAGTCTCATGACCTTAAAGATCTAATGCTTGGCTACTGCAGGATGTTTGGCCATGGTAGTGGATGTCTTATTTAAATAACAATAGACTTGGGCTCAGGTGTGCTTACTCCTGACCCTGAAGACCAGATAATAGATGTGACTACAAAATGCCTGCAGCATTAAGGGAAGTAAGTCTGTTTGCTCCTTATACATGACAAAAGAAGTTTTCTGCCATGCCCCCCCCCACCTGTTTTGGTTGGGGTACTTAAGAATGTTGAAGAATAAACAGTATTCACTGGATTGCCGTTCTGACTCTATTCTGTGTCTCTGTCTTTCTCTTAACATCTTTACCTACCCTTTCTCAATCCACACTCCCCCTCTCAGGTGCAAACCAGGCAAGTCTGCTGTCTCTGACTATAGCCCCATAAAGACAACTTCCCATACGTGACAGGCCAAGGAATACCAGGAAAACCATGCTACAGTGCTGCATTCTGCTAAAGCCAGTCAAGTACCTCATGACTCCCACATTTAATGATTTCCCTTTGGGTGGAAAACTCATTAATATAGACATTCCTCAATGTTTTTATGATACTTGAAAAGCTTTGAGTCTATCCAGGGTAAAACAGAAGAAAAACTCCAAAGGGCACCTGGCTAGTAGCTGCCCTCTCAGACTGTTCTCCTAAGTACATCAGGAGAGGAGTCAGTGGGTAACACTGGCCCACATCCTGCATGTCCTGCAGAGTCCCCATCACCCTAGTTAGTGTGACTTACACAACTGATGGCATGGCCATATCCTGGAACCCACTGAACTGGCCTGACCAGAAACCAAGATCATCACACTGAAATCAGTATAGGAGCCAAAGGAAGCCACAAGACACTTGCTGATGCATGGTACAAGTCTAATTAGATCAAATTAGCAAAACTACTAATGACGACAATCATTATACATTACAAATTGATCTCCCCACATTTTATCTCATCACTTATTCTCACCAACCCTTTAAGATACACATTTATATTGATCTTGTTTACAGGTAGCCAGTTGGCCAGTAGGAATGGGATCCTAAAATTGGCTAAAGGTAAGAAAACTTGAGTATGCTGAGTAGTTGTGATGACAATTGAACTTAGCTTTGCAACAAGTTGGCCCTTATCTCTAGAAATAATCATCCCAACAGTCCTCTGAGTTGTACCTAGGTAAAGGAAATTCACTCTGACCCCTTGGTTAGAGTATAAGGACACTTTTATAGGACTAGGAGATGGGTCCTGGGAAGCATAACAGATTACCTCTTACATATACTTTTGCATATGTGAATCTATACCTAGAGAGAAAGAAGACCAAGGAGGGTTCTGGAATAAGAGGGTTTGATATTTAATACCTGTCTTGGGGCTTCTGTTGCTGTGGAGAGACACCATGACCACAACAACTCTTATAAAGGAAAACTTTTAAGTTTCAGAGATTCACTCCAGTATCATCATGGCAGGGAGCATGATGGTGTTGAAAGACCCCAGAGTGGGGAGACCCTCACTCAAGTCTCGGGATAAGCCGATGCCTCAATAATTCAAGAGAGACCATTCTTGATGCAAGCACACGAGGTTTATTCAGGGAACCAGTGCACTGGGGCCGAGCTCATAACCCTCACAGGGGCAGAGGAGTTCGACCCCCAGTAGTTGCAGTCGGGGGTTTTTAAAAGGGAAAAACCATAAAGAATAGGGGAGTTAGGCAAACATCATAAAGGATGGGGAAGTTAGGTAAACACCATAAAGGATGGGGAAGTTAAGTGACAGCCCATACCTTAACAGGAAGGTTATAGGTTATCTCAAGCAAGCATTCTTTGGGCATTGTACAGTTAAATATTGAGCAGGAATGTGGTGAGCTAGTTCCTGGATCAGGGAGTGTTATCTTTTTAAGTTTATCTTGAGGTCACCAGTTTCTCAGGCGAGGCAGAAGAACAAGTTACTCTGTGCTGGGCTAGTTGCTAAAGGTTTAAAAATGTTGAGTTGGGGTCTCTCAGTGTGCAGGCAGATGTGGTACTGACTATATTTTGTTCAGAAGGAAACAGAAAGCAGACTGTGACACTAGGCAGTAGGTATCTTGAGCATGGCAAACCTCAAAGTCTACCCCCACAGTGACACACTTTCTTCAATAAGACCTTACCTATTCCACCAAAGCCACACCTCCTATTAGTGACACTCCCTATGAGCTTATGGGGGCCATTGGTCAAAGAAAATGTTAAATCTAAAAAATAAACTCCTAGCACAAAACACACAGGGAATCTGGGACACTGTGAAAAGACCAAATCTAAGAATAATAGGAACAGAGGAAGGAGAAGAATCCCAGATCAAAGGCCCAGAAGATAATTCAACAAAATCATAGAAGAAAATTTGCCTCACCTAAAAAAGGATATGCTTATCAAGGTACAACAAGTATACAGAACACCAAATAGACTGAACCAGAAAAGAAATTGCCCTAAGTTCAATATAATCAAAACAACAACTGTACAAAATGAAGAAATAATATTAAAACCTACAAGGGACAAACTAAGTAACATATAAAAGAAGACCTATTCAAATTATACCTGACTTATCAATGGAGGCTCTAAAAGACAGAAGGGTCTTAACAGATGTGCTACAGACTCTAAGAGTCCACAATGTGAGCCCAGATTATTATAGTCAGCAAAACTTTCAATGACCATAGGTGGGGAAGATAAGATAATTTAAAAAAGAATTAAGCAGTATCTATCTACAAATCCAGCCCTACAACAAATGCCAAAAGAAAAACACCAACCAAAAGAGGCTAATCACAACTAAGAAAACACAGGGAATAAATAACTCAAGACCAGCAAACAGAAAGTGGGAAAACACACACACACACACCATAACAACATAAACAATGACAACAATAAAATAAAGGAAATTAACAAATATTCTCATTGATATGACTTAACATCAATAGTCTCAATTCCTCAACCAAAAGATACAAACTGACAGAATGGATGCAAAAGGATAATTCATCCATTCTTAGCCTCTAAGAAACACACCTTCACATCAAGGATAGAGATTACCTTAGGGGATAGGGTTGGAAAATGATATTCCAAGCAAATGGACCTAAGAACAAGCTAGTGGGCCCCTTTTAATATCTCCAAACCAAAAGTAATCAGAATAAATAAAGAAGGACACTACCAAAGGAAAAATCCACCAGGAGGATTTTGCAATTTTTAACATTTTTGCCCCACCACAAGGGCCCACAAGTTCATACAGGAACACTACTATTAAATATTGACCTCCCATGTACTGAGAGTGGGACACTTAAATATCCCACTCTCACCAAAAGACAAATCATCAAGAAAAAAATAATTAGAAAAATTCCAGAACTAACCGATTTTATAAACCAAATGGACTTAACAGATATTTGCAGAACATTTCACCCCAACACAAAAGAATGTACTTTCTTCTCAGCATATTGTGAAACTTTCTCCAAATATAACCACATAATCAGACAAAAAGCAAGTCTCAACATGCAATAAAATTGAAGTAATACCCTATATCCTATCTGAACAGCATGGGTTAAAGCTGAATATCATCAATAACAAAAAAAAACAGGAAGCTTATAAACTTGTGGAAACTGAATAATTCTATATTGAATGAAAATGGGTCAAGATAGAAATTAAAGACTTTCTAGACAGGAGAAAAGAACACATGACATACTCAAACTTGTAAGTCACAGTGAAGATGGTTCTAAGATAGTTCTTTCCTTTTCTAAAGGAAAAGGAGGGAAGATCCAAACTAACAAGAACAAAAACAAAAAGGGGAACATAACAATAGATGGAGGAAATCACAGGAATCATAAAAGGACATACATTAAAAACCTCAAAATTGGAAAAGCTAAAGGACATGGATAATTTTATAGATACATACCATTTACCAAATTTAAGTCAAGATCAGATAAACAATTTAAACAGACCTACAACCTCTAGTGAAATAGAAATAGTCATTAAAAGTTTCCCAACCAAAAAGAGCTCAGGGATGGATGGTTTTAGTGCTGAATTCTACCACACTTTCAAAGAAGTGTTAATGCCAATATTCATTGAATTTTTTCCGCAAAATAGAAACAAAAACATTACCCAATTTGTTTAATGAAGCTACAGTTACCTTGTTACCCAAATGACATAAAGGCCCCTCCAAAAAATTGCAGGCCAAGTTCCCTTATGAACATAAATGAAAAATACTCAATAAAATACTCACGAACCAAACACATGAACACATTAGAAAGATCAGCCACCATCATCAAGTAGGTTTTATCCCAGAGATTCAGGGATGTTTCAATATATGTAAATTAATAAATGTAATCTGCCATATAAACAAACGGAAAGACAAAAACCATATGATCATCTTATTAGATGCAGGAAAAGCCTTGAACAAAAATCCAACACCACTTCATGATAAAAGTCCTGGAGAGATTAGGGATACAAGGGAAATATCTCAACATAATAAGGGCAGTTTGCAACAAGCCCATAGTCAACATCAACTTAAATGAAGAGAAACTCAAAGCAATTCCTTTAAAACCAGGAACAAAATGAGGTTGTCCACTCTCCTTATATTCTTTTCTATATAGTACTTGAAGTCTAAGCTAGAGCAATAAGACAACTGAAGGAGACCAAAGGGACACCAAAGGAAAAAGTCAAAGCATTTTAATTGCAGATGACATGATAGTATACATAAGTGGCCCAAAAATTCCACCAGAAAACTTTTAAAGCTGATAAAAACACTTTCAGCCAGGTTGTTATAGGACACAAAATTAACTCACAAAAGTCAGTAGCCCTCCAATATGAAAATGGCAAATGGACTGAGAAAGAAATCAGGGAAACAACACCTCTCATAAATAGTCTCAAGTAATATAAAATATCTTGTGATAATTCTAACCAGACAAGTGGTCTCTCTTCCAACTTTTCCCATTTACTTTCTCCCAATAAAAACCCCTTCACCAAGAAAAAACGTGGTACATTTACACAATGGAATACTATTCAGTAGAAAAAAGCAATGGAATCTTGAAATTTTTCAGGCAGATAGATAGCACTAGAAGAAACCATCCTGAATGAGGTAACCCAGTCACAAAAAGACAAACATGGTATGTACTCACTCATATATAGATTTTAGACATGAATCAGGGGAGTGCCAGTCTACAATCCCACTGCCAGAGAGGCAGGGAAACAGGAAGGACCCTAAGAGAGATATACATGGTACCCCAGAGAAGGTGGAATGAAGGAATCTCCTGAGCAGATTGGGAGCACAGGATGGAGGAG